ACGAGGATTCAAGATGGATTAAACAGTCTGATGATTGCCGCGTGTATTGTCGGACATCGGCGTTATTGGTGGATTCGCCTATGATCAAGATGAAGCAGATCATCGAGCTACACAGTGGCGCAGACAGAATCGTAATGGACAAAATTCAATCACATTTACAATTTGAAATTCGATTTGGATCGAAAGCGTGGAATGCGGAGTCATACCAATTGAACTACAATCATACCCACAAGTGGGCGCGTGACTTACCCAATTGTGGTGCAGATCATTTCTTCAAAAAGTTGGTACACTACCTCGACCCAGAGACTATCGAGGAGTCGACCACAGGCATCTTTCAATGGATTTCCAAAGTATACCAGAACATCTTGAAATATAGTAGTGTGGAACTACCAGATTTCGCCAAGGAGGTCATCCATGACAACCATCCTGCACTTCAGGCATTACGTGACCTATTCAAAAATTGTACTGTGACATACGGTAATCCAGATTTTCCTGTATGGGAAGAGCTGGTGGAAACACCTGCTGCGCCTCGAGAGCAAGGCGCTGAGCAGGATATTCCCCAGGACCCAGGCAGTGTTGCGTCTGCAGCTCCCGATCAGGAAACTATGGTACGTATCATAGCCGAGCAGACGGGACTCAAGCGCGAGGAGGGCGACAACGAGGCTACCTTGCAGGAGCAGGCTCGCCGTCTTCGTGAGGAGAACGTATGCCATGGCGGTACTGAGGATACCGACAACATCAAGATAGAGTACAAAGGACTGCCAGGGGAAAGGTTGTCTCGGATCGAGATCGAGGGTTTAAGCAGATCGATCGCTTCCAGACCGAACACCGAGATCAATCGTGGGGCGATCAATCAGATCGGTCAGAGCCTCGCTCGCGGTCAGGACACCCGCTGGGGATCCCGCGATCACCTGACTTCGGCAGGGGCCCCCGAGACGATCTTGCATCCCATGCCGCTCTGTCAGAATTGCGGTCGAGATCTGTCCCTCGGGATTGTCAAAGGTGACGGCACATTTTGTGATATCTGTTGGCAATACACTGTGGCCGTAGGCGCCACAGGTAAGAGCACCGCCACACAGAGCGATCTCGCGCACCTGCAGAAGTTGACGAACTGGATCAAGACGACGTTGTCTGAGGACCAGATCGCGAGATACATGAAGGATGGCGCGCACGTCATTATGACGGGTGCGCGATCGCACATAGGCACCGAGAAAGATCAGTTGCGGAGATTGGCCAATGCGTCCAAAAAGAGGTATCAGAAGTGGGTCGAAGCCGGTAGCCCGCCTGCACACGAGTGCAGATTAATGGGCGAATCCGAGGACGACCGACCTCTGTACTACCCATTCGCCAATCTCATACAACGCTTTCTCAACGACCTCAAGTTCCATCATCAGATGACAGGTGCCCGCGTGAATGTCGGCAAGAAGCCCTGGACCGTCGAGGACATGCGCGACGCGTGGGACATCCTTGACGTCAGCATTAGGACAGGACAGGCTGGTCGGAGAAAGTGGTGGCTGAACGAGGGACGCATTGACAGGCAGACGCGGCAGGCGCGCGGACTGGTTACGGTTTCTCTCCCTCGAAGGGATGGAACCCGTGAACAGTTCACCCAGCGCAAGCTTGCCGCGATTGCCAACGAACTGATAGGCTCCCTCGATCCGTCACACACCGACCAGAGGGGGGTTAGTACAGGGATGAGAACCGATCCCGATACACAATCCCAACAGTCCGATGACGCCATGGAGCCGCGGCCGCCGCCGCGCCCGCCGCCGCGCCCTGCTCCTGGCGACGCTGCTGCGTCCAGCGCCTCAGGCGCGGAGGACTACACGCCCGCGATGCCGCGCGCCAAGAGAGCACGTACATCTGATTACGCTGCTTACTGGCGCCACGACCTCGAGGACAGCTACTGGGGTCTTCGATACTGGAGTTACTACATCAAATGTTGGATCTACATTGCGATCAACAACGACGAGTATGTGTACATCCAGGATATCACGTACAACGATTGGTTCCGCAACTGGATCCCGAGGACAACTTGGGAAACGTTTACGACAAGCTACGCGACGTACAACGGCCAGAGGGTGTGGGACCGCAGGTTCTACAAGGACGGCGACGCGTAGTGAGTCGGCCGCAAGGCCCACCGCTCAAGAGCAGAACTTTCTTTCATCAAAGTTCGCCTTGAGCGGTGGCTAATATATTCTTTTAGGCCACTTCAATCATTCACACAAGTGGCCATACACATATATATATATATATCTTTTGCGATCACCGAGGCAGCCTCCTAAGGAGCAACGCCAACGGGAGTCGCCAAACAGATGTTATACACCCCTTTTCGTGCTCATCAACACGACATTTTGTCTGGCCAGACACTTGCTTTACACAGATTTACTTGCTGTTGTTAGGCAGACTTGTGTTTCATTGCAAGATTGTGTTCACCAACGCGATCTTAGCATGCATATTTTAACAATTTGAACAATATTGCGTCGAGAATAATCTGATTGCTGGTGGCAACACCTGCCTCGCAAATCTTGCGAGGCATATTGCATGTTGCCTTGATGCTCAGATCTTCTTTCTCCGCCTACCCTTGTCTCATTCTTCTCCTCCCTCGAGTGCCGAGGCGCTTTGGGGGGCGCACCGAGGGGGCGCCAAAGTGCGCCTGGAGAAGAAAAGGGGACATGGGGTATCTCTTCTTACCTCACTTTGCAGCTGTGGCTTCGCTGTTTTTAAGCCCCAGCTGCCTTTCTGACTTAAGGGCTAAAGGAGTTCAGAGGTTACGGATTCCTTTCCTCTGTTCCCGAGTCCTGCCTTAACGGGCGGGATTCGGGACGGGGGGTGTGAATGGAACCCGTGTAATACCCTCATTTATACTCCTTATCCTTACCTCTCCCGCACCTGGCCGTTTGGGCTAAGGCACTGAGTTGGAGCGATCGTACCTTGATCGCGTGGGAGGGAAAGATATCCATCTATCCCTCCATCTCTCTACCAACGGATCAGGGGTTCTGTACCCTTGTACTTCAACCCCATGCACAAGATGGGGCCACGCCGTATGTAAAACCAATGATTTGGGTTTTCTCGCTGAGGCTATTGCGGGCACCCTGGCCGCTCGCGACCGGCCCCGCCCAAGTCCAGGGGCGGGGGCGGGGGGGGGGCCCTCCCCGAAGGGGGGAAAAAGGCGGTGGAAGAGGAAGCGCTCTGGACTACCTTACGCTGTAAGCGGTTGGTGGTACTTCGCACTGCCACTTGGCAGCGCCGCCATCCTCGGGCAGGTGCCCGGCCGCGAGTCTTTCGACGAGCTCACCGAGTACCTGCGCTGCATCAAGCCGGGCCGGGCACGGGCTGCAATGGCGCGCCGCGAGCCTCCTCCACGAAGCTCGCCTGGGTCGCGCGCTCGCCCGAGTGCAGCGCCAAACCTACCAGGTGGGGCCCGCCTCGAGGCCAGGCACGAGGCGTCCAGCAATTGTGCTGTCAGCGACCCGAAGCTCGTGTTCATGCTGTCCAAACACGTTGGCGATCTGAAAATCGTTGGACACAGTGAGCACGTCGATCGGCTTATCGGCCGCGTCGAGAGCGTCGTCAACTGCGGGGCCACCAACGCCGCGGCGCCGACGGCACCTGGACGGTCGACCAGGACGAGTACATCGACGCCCTGATACGGGCCAGGCATGTCCACCTGGTCAAGGCGAAGGCCGATGAGCCAGCTGGAGGTCAACTACCCGTTCTCTTCGTCTCCTTGCTAGGAGCAGCAGCGTGCGCCATGCTCACCCAGCACCGCGTCGCAGCGCGCACTGTCGCACTGCAGAGGATCAAGAACAAGCTGCTCATACACCGCGCAGTGGAGCTTAACTCCGTTACCTTGGCCACGCAGAAGATCAAGGCGCGCGTGGCCTTTCCTGGCGTAGAATGCGCGGGCCAATTCTGCGCGCGCAGCGACGAGTCCGTCAAGAGGGAGGAGGGGCCCAGCTACGGCATGAGAGGTGCCGTCTACATGCGTTTGGGCAAGTGCCGCAACGCCAGCATGGAGGTCTGCCAGTTGCTCGACGCTGTGGACCGTTCGCACAAACTTGGGTGCGGGTCTTCGTTCGGCTTCGAGCTGCTCGCGGCATGCGGCGCAGCTGCTGGGTTGCAAGCCTGCCTCATGGCGCTCCGCTCCGCGCGATGATCCGTAGACCAGCCTGAGCCGACGAGATCTGGAAGCTCAGAAAGGAACGACGCTATGCCATTCCATAACCCTGGTCGTGGACGAGATGTCCGCCCTCGCGGCATTTGCCATGGATCCTGTTCCACCGCCTTCAGAAAACAGCATGGCTGGCCACCAAAGGTGGATAGCAGACCAGCTCCGCACGAAACAAATCGTAAACATGTTTGGGTGCGATACGCGAGACATGGAGGCCAATCCCACGACGAAGGGAAGCGCCGGCCGCGAACTCATTCTCGACGGAAAGGGATGCATCATCTTGCATGTTTTGAACTTTGTTCGCGAATGCGACATGGCAAGCGTGCAAGTGAGTGGGCTCTTTCCACGGAGTTAGCTCGTGGAGCAGCAGGTTGTGTGAAAATTGAGCACGCACGCGAGTGAGGTTTGCTCCGTCAGTAGTCAGTAGTCTGCTGCCATGCCACTCTATGCGCAATTATGTATAAGGGGCGTGGGCAGTATAAATTCCTCCAGTGCTATGGTGTGTTTGTCTCGTTTGATGGCACATGACCTGCACGTGCTGACCAACGAGGCACAGGCAGACCTGTTTGAGCACCTGGCTCGAACGGTGGCCTGTTATTTTTGGTGTCTTTACCTGGTCTCTTAATTGTCTCCCCTTTTCCGCCGCCGACTTGGCCCTGGGGCACGTAATGTGGCCAGTTTATGTGCCCGTCTGACATTCGTTTCGATCCGTGTGACACACACACACACTCGCAAGCAGAATCCATACCTTTTCATCTCACATCCCAAGTTTTAGTCTTCCTGCTTCTGCTCGTGTCCCTCCCGCTCTTCCCCTCCCGCCCTCCAGCTCATTCCCCACCATCTTTCCCACTCGGCACGGCTCGGGGGTTCGCTTCTTTATGTGGCCGGGCTGGCCTCAGCAGGCCCCCGGGGTATTCCAGGGCGGTCTCAACGTCCTACGCCCTGGGATGCTGGGGCCCCCGTTCCGCCGCAGCGGGAGCGGCTGTCTTGCGGGGCGTGTTGGTGCCAGGCTGTGCGGCCTCTTCGGGCTGCCTGTGTGCAGCCGGAAACCTCTGCCATTCCCCTTCCCTCTTCGCTCCGCCTCGCACAGCTTCGTCGGTTCCCACGCGCAGCCACGTGCAGATGGCCCGACGCGCGATCACGAAACGGAGCACGGAAACATAATCATTGATCTTCTCGTGAGGCATGCCGCGGCTGCTGAGGCGGTGGGGCCTACCTCCTAAACACAGTTGCGTGGAGGAAACTGCAAGGTCGCACCACACGCTGTGCAGCTGCAGAAAGGATTTGCGAGCTTCTCGGTTTCACGGGCGAGGCGCGCAATAACTTATTTGCCGCGTGCGGCACGACTGGATGCACGAGCGGTGCAGCAGCGTGCGTCCAGAACCACGCGAGCGCTGCATCTCGACAGCGAGCGGGCGACCGCCCCGGTAACTGAGTCAGCGTGTTCAGCGGCATTGGGGCGCCTCAGAAATTTTGAATCGGCCGCGCCGGCTGGCGCGGGCGCGGATGTTGCTAACGGCGGGAGCGCCGGGTACGGGCGTTGGAGCAAGCGGAAGAGAAGAGGGTGGCCACGGAGGAGGAGGGCGGAAAGGGAAGGGCCCAACCGCCGAGAGTAGGCGAGTGAGCGGCGCGCAGGCGGCCTCAGGCACCGGGGACGGTGTGCAACGGGAAGTTGGACAGCATAAGGAACAGGCCGTCGAAGTGGAAGACGACTGGGCAACGGCTTTGGTTACCAACGGCTCCTCGAAACACGCGAGAGGGAAGCTGCGAGCTCGCACCGCTGCCTCCGCACCGCCGCCCACCCCATGCCCCTTCCCTTCTGCCCGCCCCTGCCGACCCGTCTGCCTCTGCCACCCCACCACCCCGCCCGCCTCCACCTGCCTCCTCCCGCGTTCGCTGACCGCCTCCGCTCCAGGGATGAGCTGCCGCCGCCGCCGCCGCCTGCCTCCGCCATGTGACCACGCGCGCTCGTTGGCCGACTCCGTGCCAGGGAGGAGGCATCATGAGGCATCAGGGTTGGAGTCGGATGGGGGACTGAGGTTGTCCAGCATTGGTTCTGGCGAGCAGGAAGGGGAAAGCCAGGTCGGAGGCGCGTGATGCTCGTTACCCGGACCGGATCCCCTCCCCGTCTGCTTTTGCCCCGGGCGGGGAGGCGGGAAGAGGAGAGAGGGATGGGGCAGAGGGGCAGAGGAGAGGAGCAAGGGCGGAGGGGGCAGGGAGGGCCACCTCTCTCTGCTCCACACGCCCGCCTCGCTCGGTCCACGTGCAGTGCGGGGCCTCTCCCCGCCCCCCGTCCCGCGTGGCAGGGTCCCCGCGGGCCTCAAGGCTGCGCTCGGCACCGGCAAGAGGGCCCCGAGCCCCAAGACGGCCCCCAGAGGGACCCAAGACGGCCCCAGGACGGCCCACGAGGGGCCCAAGAGAGGCCCCCCTGACGGCCGAGGAGGGCTCCAAGACGGCCTGGTACGAGGGTTCGCATCTGCGTTCGAGGCCAAGGCTTTGGCTCCCGAGGCGGGCCTGCGGCGGCATGTGAGTGCGCCAGTGCCCTCCTGGCTTTACGTTCACCGACCCCTCGCGCGGGCCATGGCCCAAACTCTGTCGAAAGAAGAGGGAAGGCGGGGGACTAGGAACCGACGTTTCCCTTCCTCTGCTCAGGTACCTAATGGCATTCGGCCTTCGGCCCATGCCGCCACCGCGCCTGGGCCTGGGGGTCAGAGTCTTCTTGGGCGTGCCTCCTGGAGCCTCTTGGGATGCCTGCTGTGGAGGTCTTTCGGGGCCTCCTCTCTGCTCACGTCTCTCTCCCCCTCTCCCTCTCCCTCGCCGGTCCTCCCTCCCCCCTCCCCCGCGCCTTAAGAGGTCCCCGTGGGTGGCCCAGCAAGGCTTCAGGTTCCTCTTCCAATCCGCCCCCTCTCCACAAGTGGGGAGAGAGCGCGGCCCTCCTCACAAGGGGGGGGTGACTTATGTGCTCGCGGCGCACGCAGGCTAGTACGTATGCCGTCCACCGACGCACGCCTCTTCCCGCCGCCGCCTCCCCCGCGCCCGGAGGCGTTCGGCCTCAGCTCGGGCGTGCTTCGGAAGGTCCGCCCCCCCCCCCGCGCCAGCCCAGCCCGCGCGAGGCCCGCTGCCGCGAGGAGCGGGCGCGAGGAGTGCCGCCGGAGGAGCGAAGACAATGTGGTCAGAGGCGGAAAAGGTACCCATACCGCTACCCCTGCCCCGTTTTCGTTTTCCTGAGCTCCTTGGGAGGCTCTCGTCGCCACCGCTGGATTCGCCTCGAGATTCTGGTCAGAACGCACTTTTGGTTACCCCATGTGCTGCGCCAGCCTGGGTCATGGGGGCAATTTCCAAAGATCGAGGAAGCGCAGGCCTCGAGTTCGCCAAAGCTCGGGTTTGCCGACGCTTTTTAACCGGCCCGTCCTGGATTTTGACGGTCCAATTTTCGTGGGATGTTGTTTGGCGGGAGCCTGCGTCAAATTTCCGATTGGTTCTCGTCGTTTTCTTGACGGCCCTTTCAGGCCAACCCGAGTCTCCCGAACCCGAGCCTTACGTCTGCCCGAAAAGAGGAAGCGCGTGTGTCAGGGGCAACGCTGGGAAGGGGATTGGCTCAGGGGGGTAGCGTTTCGGGTTCGAGGTTCTTGGTTATCGGGCATTTTTGTTAGCTCCTGGCGCTTCTCCAGCCTCTGGATAGTCTCCAGCAGCTGCGCCTCGCCGAGAGCGTTCCGGGGGTGCCCAGATCGCCCCGAACGGCAGCCGGAGGACCGAGCCCGAAAGCCATTCGGATCGGGGGCAGCGTTGGGGGCGATAGGCTCCGGGGGACGCACCGACCTTCGATCGCTCATTCATTGCGGCTGTGGCCCGACAGCCGGCTCCACCCAGGAGCGTGCGGTTCTGCGATCAGGGGACACTGTCGCCGATCCACCAGCGATTTGCCGACGATTCCCCGCCTTGAACTGCTCCGCGGTGTGCTGGCGGTGGGGGCTCACCACGGAACCTTGACGTGCTCGTTTTCTCTGGGGTTGCTACCCAGGCTGCCCCTCAGTGTACGGCTCGTGTGAGGGAGCTGGCCAGTAGGTTGCACGCTCCATTGGAGGGTGTGCTTCTCCAGTAAGGCCTGCAGCCGTCAGCCAAGAGCAGGAGGGCGGAGGCCGGAATGAAGTGGAGGAGGAGGAGGAGGAGGAGGAGGAATACCAGCATCATCTTGCGTTGAGCGATTTTGGCCCAATGGCTTTGCGTGCAGTTGTTTTGGCTGATCTAAAAGTGTGTCGTGCCAGTTATTTGCGTCTTGCGCCCAGGGCCCGCTGTACTGGCTGTTCGTCGGTATCATGCTCCTATGCCTGCCAAACATCGCGCGATGTCCAATCGTCTTGTCTGCAATGCTGTGATGCACTTGCTTCTGGCAAGTATTATCTGCTAGTTCCTGGCGCTGCGTCCGAACGCGATTTACTGATTCATGTTCTGTGGTGTTGCCGTCTCATGGTTGATCTGTCAGCCCAAGTTCCTAAATCCTCTCGACCTCACGTATGGCGTTCATCAATGTGTTGGATCTCTGCCTCACCCTCAAGAAAGGCAAGAGTTTGCCGACGTCCTCAACTCTTCGGAGCATTGTTGTCTTCGGGCACCAGGTGAGAGGCTGCAGGAGCTCCCTGGAGGCCCCCATAGGTCCCTGAGACCTCCAGCAGGCCACGACAGGGCCGAAAACGCGCCTCCCAGGAAACTCGAGCCGCTGTCCTGGATCGCCCTCCCCCTCCCAGGAGCTCGGGGGCTTTCGGAGGCGCGCGGACGTCTCTCGCCTGTGACCCGCAGCGGCGTGAGCCTCGCGCCGCGGAGCCTTGAGCCGCCCTGGTCCGCAGGGCTTCGAGGCCGCGACCCTCGATCGCCCCGAGCCTCGAGGCTTCGACCCTCGAGGCCGCGATCCTCGCGACCCTAGGGGCGATGGAGGCCCGCGGCCTCGAGGCTCGCGGCGCTCGAGCGGGGCGGGGCGATCCAGGGCAGCAGCGCTCGCCCAACGCCCCCCCCCCTGGGGAACCGCGCGGGCCTCGCCTGGCGCGCAGGGCGGCTCTCCGCGCGGGTCTCGGTGGCTCCAGGGCGGCGGCCGGCGCGGCGCGGCGCGGGGGCCGGCGGCGCCCTCCGCGGCGCGCCGCGGGGCGGCGCGGCGGCGGCGGGCGCGCGCGGTCGCCCTCCCTGCAGGCGCGACTCCTCCTTCTTCTCCTCCTCCTCCTCCTCCTCCTCCTCCTCCTCCTCCTCCTCCTCCTCCTTCCCCTCCTCTCCTCCTCCTCCTCCTCCTCCTCCTCCTCCTCCTCCTCCTCCTCCTCCTCCTCCTCCTCCTCCTCCTCCTCCTCCTCCTCCTCCTCCTCCTCCTCCTCCCTCCTCCTCCCCTCCTCCTCCTCCTCTCCTCCTCCTCCTCCTCCTCCTCCTCCTCCTCCTCCCCCTCCCCCTCCTCCTCCTCCTCCTCCTCCCTCCCTTTCCCTCTCCCCCTCTCCCTCTCCCTCCTCTCCCTCGAGCCCGTTCCTTTATTGCTTGGAGCATGACGGGTGTCATGGCCCCCGCTCCCCCCCCTATGACGTAACGCTCCCCTCCCCAGTGCGCTCCGGGCAATGCCGCCGTGCGCATTGGGATCCGCGTAGGTGTCCGCGTAGGAATTCGCATAGGAGTCTGGTCCGCAGTCGTCGTCGTCGTCGTCGTCGTCGTCGTCGTCGTCGTCGTCGTCGTCGTCGTCGTCGTCGTGGCTCGAGGCTTATCGCTAGTCGCTAGTCGCTCGTCGCTCATCGTGCGCGCGGACGCGGCTGGAGCCTGTTTTTAATTCCGGGCCGATGTCGGCAATCATTCGGCGGGGGGAGAGGTCGATGACGTCACGTTTCGCGCCGGCGGCGTCTGGGAGTGCTTAAGAAAGACGGAGGACGGGTAGCACTAGCATGTAGGTGGCGATCTGCACCACAACGCTTGTGCGCACCACAGCAGCCGCGTGTAACACAGCGTCAGTTTTTGCCACCGTGCTTGCGGGCACAACAGTTCTTGTGTACACCACAGCGCCTGCGCGTAAACCACATCAGCCGTGCGCAACACAACACCAGTGTACACCACAGTGCCTGCGTTCATTGCAGTGTCTGTGAACACGGCGGCTGTGTACACCACAACAACCGTGTGCAACACAGCACCACTGTTGTATATAGAATGTTAGGAGGAATCCTTATGACAAAATGGAGCGCTTGTGGATTCCACAGAAGACAATATAAAGGAACCCTTATGGACAAAGGAGCGCCGTTGGAATCTACGCATCTGCGTCCAGGAGGCTCCAGCTAGATTGGCCGTCCGAGAACCAAGTGGACCCATTCAATAGACCATTGTGCGGTGCACGCTGGGATGCGCACGTGCGCTGTAGCGCCAACCCGCACGACAGGGGGTAAAGAGGAGGAGGTGGAGAAGGAGGAGGAAGTGGAGGTGGAGGAGGAGAGAAGAACGTCGCATTCGTTTCCTGGCGTGGCATTTAGGTGTCCGCAGCAGATTCTCACGTACATGCTCCTTCTACCTGTCCTCTGCACGCAGGTGCTGTGGTGTACACCGGCGC